ATGGATGGATGGACATATGGATGGATGGACATATGGATGGATGGACATATGGATGGATGGACATATGGATGGACATATGGATGGATGGATGGACATATGGATGGATGGACATATGGATGGATGAATGGACATATGGATGGATGGACATATGGATGAATGGACATATGGATGAATGGACATATGGATGAATGGACATATGGATGGATGGACGGACATATGGATGGATGGACATATGGATGGATGGATATATGGATGGATGAATGGATGGATGGACATATGGATGGATGGACGGACATATGGATGGATGGACATATGGATGGATGGACATATGGATGGATATATGGATGGATGGATGAATGGATGGATGGATGGATGAATGGATGGATGAATGGATGGACGGACATATGGATGAATGGATGGACGGACATATGGATGGATGGATGGATGGATGGACATATGGATGGATGGACATATGGATGGATGGACATATGGATGGATGGATATATGGATCAACATATGGATGGATAGATGAATGGATGGATGGATGGATGGACGGACATATGGATGAATGGATGGATGGACATATGGATGGATGGACATATGGATGGACATATGGATGGATGGATGGATGGACGGACATATGGATGGATGGATGGATGGATGAATGGATGGATGGATGGATGGATGGATGGATGGACATATGGATGGATGGATGGACATCTGGATGGGTGGGTGGAGTGACAGGAACATATTTAGGCCAGTGAATGACACAATTGATAAAACATTGCTTAACCTCTTTGTGAAATTCTGGGTTCTCCGCACACCTGACGGATCTACATGCAGATATTCCAAAGGACTGTAAATGATCGGACTGCCGATCCTCCGCCGATGGGCAGATACGAGCCATGCGGGGACACTTGGGGAACCAGCTGGCGATGGTGTAATGTCATTAACCTCCCTAATTATCTCCAGCATGCCTGGACCTGCTGAGGCGGGCGATGTCACCCGGCGTATATTTAGAGCGTCACACACATAGGTGCAGCACATCCCACCCAGAGTGTGTCAGAGCAGATCACCCCGACCTGTAAAACCGTACAGGAGAGACACCATACAGACCGACAATGCAGACCAAGGTAGGACCATGCCAGGCACTGGCAAACGCATGCCGGACTGTGCCAGGGACTGCGTTATACACATACAACCTAGACTGTGCTAGAAAGTGTCCTATGGAGGAACCGGTAGGGCTCTGCCATCAGGGACTGTTCGGTATATAAACAGGTTGGACTATACCAAACATTGTTTTGTACGTGTGCAGGCTGAGCTATACCAGGGACTGTTCTGTACGTGTGCAGGCTGGGCTTTACCAGGGACTGTTCTGTACGTGTGCAGGCTGAGCTATACCAGGGACTGTTCTGTACATATAGAGGCTGAGCTATACCAGGGACTGTTCTGTACGTGTGCAGGCTGAGCTATACCAGGGACTGTTCTGTACATATAGAGGCTGAGCTATCCCAGGGACTGTTCTGTACATATAGAGGCTGAGCTATACCAGGGACTGTTCTGTACATATAGAGGCTGAGCTATACCAGGGACTGTTCTGTGCATACAGAGGCTGAGCTATCCCAGGGACTGTTCTGTACATATAGAGGCTGAGCTATACCAGGGACTGTTCTGTACATATAGAGGCTGAGCTATCCCAGGGACTGTTCTGTACATATAGAGGCTGAGCTATACCAGGGACTGTTCTGTACATATAGAGGCTGAGCTATACCAGGGACTGTTCTGTACATATAGAGGCTGAGCTATACCAGGGACTGTTCTGTGCATACAGAGGCTGAGCTATCCCAGGGACTGTTCTGTACATATAGAGGCTGAGCTATACCAGGGACTGTTCTGAACATGCGTAGGTTGGGATATACCAGGGACTGTTCTGTACATGTGCAGCCTGGGATATACCAGGGACTGTTCTGTACATGTGCAGGCTGGGCTATACCAGGGACTGTTCTGTACATGTGTAGGCTGGGCTATACCAGGGACTGTTCTGTACATATAGAGGCTGAGCTATCCCAGGGACTGTTCTGTACATATAGAAGCTGAGCTATACCAGGGACTGTTCTGTACATATAGAGGCGGAGCTATACCAGGGACTGTTCTGAACATGCGTAGGTTGGGATATACCAGGGACTGTTCTGTACATGTGCAGGCTAAGCTATCCCAGGGACTGTTCTGTACATATAGAAGCTGAGCTATACCAGGGACTGTTCTGTACATATAGAAGCTAAGCTATCCCAGGGACTGTTCTGTACATATAGAAGCTGAGCTATACCAGGGACTGTTCTGTACATATAGAAGCTAAGCTATCCCAGGGACTGTTCTGTACATATAGAAGCTGAGCTATACCAGGGACTGTTCTGTACATATAGAAGCTAAGCTATCCCAGGGACTGTTCTGTACATATAGAAGCTGAGCTATACCAGGGACTGTTCTGTACATATAGAAGCTAAGCTATCCCAGGGACTGTTCTGTACATATAGAAGCTGAGCTATACCAGGGACTGTTCTGTACATATAGAAGCTAAGCTATCCCAGGGACTGTTCTGTACATATAGAAGCTGAGCTATACCAGGGACTGTTCTGTACATATAGAAGCTAAGCTATCCCAGGGACTGTTCTGTACATATAGAAGCTGAGCTATACCAGGGACTGTTCTGTACATATAGAAGCTAAGCTATCCCAGGGACTGTTCTGTACATATAGAGGCTGAGCTATACCAGGGACTGTTCTGTACGTGTGCAGGCTGGGCTATACCAGGGACTGTTCTGTACATATAGAAGCTAAGCTATCCCAGGGACTGTTCTGTACATGTGCAGGCTGAACTATACCAGGGACTGTTCTGTACATGTGCAGGCTGAACTATACCAGGGACTGTTCTGTATAAAGGGTGGACTATGACAGGTTTGTGTTTAATACAAATTCAGGCAGGACTATAATAGGGACTGTTCTGTAGGCATGTAGGAAGAACTATATCAGGGACTGTTGTATCCATATACCAAGAGGACTGTGCCAGGAACTGTTATGTATGGTTTAAAAAAAAAAAACTATACCAGGGACTATGATATATATAGATACAGGTAGAACTATGTCAGGGACTGTGGATATATGGAGACAGGTAGGACTATACTGGAGACTGTGATACAAGTTGGGCTATACTATATGAGCTGTGATATATATATAGATACATGTAGGACTATACCATGGACTGTGATACATAGATATAAGTAGTAGGGACTGTTCTATATACAGTAGATTCTAGGAGGAATACACTGAAGGACATTCCGGGTGGAATATGAATCTGTATTGTCACTTTTTGTTGTAAGAAGGATTTCCAGG